GGTCAGTCTTCACGGACACGTTGCTGTCAGGCTGGGGGGGGGGGGGGGGACATGCCTATCTCAAGCAGTAGGGGCGCTGTGGCCCCACTACACATCAGCCCACATCAATGTTTTTGGAGTGTCACACAGCACTGAATATGATTCAACACTTTGCTCCCGTGCTACAGAATCAACATGTGTTGATTCACACAGACAACATGGTGACTGCTGCTTACATAACCATCAAGGGTGTACGTTCAGCCCAGATGTTACACATTGCGCGAAAGCTACTGTGTTGTGCTCCTCAAAACCTGCTCTCTATTAGAGCGGTTTATATATCCGGTGTTCTGAACAGAGGGGCAGATGTGACGTCCAGGGGCGGCCCACGTCACGTGGACCGGACCCTCCATCCAGATCTGATGTTTTCAGACGCAGCAGAAGTTGGCAAAGCAGCTGTGGACCTGTTTGCGACGCGAGAAGTACGCTCAGTGTCAACTATGGTTTTCCCTGAGCCCGCGAGACGATCCATCGCTGGGGGGGGACGCATTTGCTCACAGCCGTGGCCCAAAACGCTTTTGTACACGTTTTTTTCCCCCACCTCCTCTGTTTTTTACGGTTCCTGAACCGAGTTCAGGAGGAGGGATTGACAGCTCTCCTGGTGGCTCCCGGCGTGTGAACGCACCATGGTTCCCAGGCCTGCAACGTCTGTTGTCGGGTCGCCGTGGAACTGCTGTGGAGGGAGGATGCTCTCCTTCAGGCAGGAGGAGCGACCAAGAGTTACCCAGAAATAGGTCAGCACCTGTGGGTCTGACCGCTGAGCGGTCCCACTTAGAGGATGGGTCTCCCTCAGGATTCAGTGTGCACAATTCAAGATTCACATGCTGCATCCACCACAGTTCTGTACACATCAAGGGGACGGCTTTTCAGCGCTGGTGTACAGAGAAGGTTTAGAGGCCACCTCATGCCTTTTAGGCGGCATGTTGTTTTTCTCTACAACAGCTGATGGATAGGGAGTTGGCATTCAGTACGCTTTAACGTACGTTGCAGTCATCTATTCCTGCCACGAAGGTTTCGGAGACAGAACAGCTTTTAATCACCCGCTGATGAAGCGTTTTTTTCTAAAAGATGTTCAGAGACACAGGCCTGCTTCACGTCCACTTGCTCCACAGTGGGATTAAACGCTGGTCCTGCGAGCCCTGATCAAAGCTCCAATTGAGCCTCTGGATCAGGTTTTCACTTAAAATTCTTGTCTCTTTAAACAGCCCTGCTGCTGGTTTTAACACCCGCTAAGAGGGTAAGTAATTATCTGCCCTCTCTGTTGCTTCGTCATGCCTTAGAATTTAGGCTGACAGGCAGCTCAGCTGATTTAAGACCAACCCAGCTTTTATGCCTAAAACATCACGAGCTCTTTTAAATCAAGAGTGATATCGTTGGAGGGGGTCTCTTTCCCCCCACAGATCAGAAGAGGAAGCATCTTTTCATCTTCTCTGCCCGGTGCGGGCGTTGACGTGTTACATAACGCGCACAGCTGCAATGCGTTTCAAACTCAACAATTGTTTGTGCATTATAGAGATGCTTCTGCAGGTCGCCGTTATCCATCCAGCGCTTGTCACACTGGCTGTGTGAGGTTTTTTCTGAAGCCTACAGAGCATCAGATTTAGGGCCTCCTGTCAACCTCTAAGCACACTCGACCAGGGGTATCGCATCTTCGACTGCTCTGCATAATGGTATGTCAATGCAGGACATTTGCACTGCGGCTGCATGGTCAACACCCTGCTCATTTATTCGCTTTTACCTACGTGATGTGACGGCTCGTTCCATGACACATTCTGTCCTTAGTGCTCTAGCAGAATGAATATTGTTGTTCTCATGGAACTCTGTTTAAGCTCACTTCTGTCTGCATGCATTACAGTGTGAGATGTTGTTATCAGTCACGTCGTGTCTGTGATTTTGGTTCTATTGTCACTAATCAGTTCATGACTATTGTTACCAATCAGTTCATTTGATCAATAATCAATTCATGGACATTAATCTGTTTATACTGTTCAGCCATGAACCAGTTGGTTCATGCCCCCCCTCTTTTCAACATCTTCTTCCCGTTGAAAGTTTTCCGGGGCATTCATGCTTTGTCAGAACGCATAGTTACTCAACATGCGTCTGTGCATGGCACATAATTACGCAATGCGTAGTTATGCACACGGGGAGCTGAGTGACAAGACGTTTTTTGGGCAAGCTTCCGCTTCTCACTGTGTTCGAATGGACCCAGTGAGGCGAGGACCACATCGGCTTCGCCCTTTACCCACTAAAGCGAAGGCCTTAAAGGGCGAAGCTTATATGACATAGAACGTTGGTTACGTACTGTAACCCCAGATTCTATGAGTATAAGCGTAGCCCTTTAAGCGTCGGGCCTCACTGGCTCTTAAATGGCTGAAGAAAAAGCTATTTTGGGAGCCGACTTCCCGCTCTTAACGTAATTTATACGGACCGGGTGGGGCCCACACAGCAGGTGGGCGTGGACTAATTTTTTCAGTGCTTATGCTCTGCATAACGGGATAAACCCACTAAAGCGAAGGCCTTAAAGGGCTACGCTTATACTCATAGAATCTGGGGTTACAGTACGTAACCAACGTTTCTACTCATCGGCACTAAATCCAACAGAACTAAAGTCAACAGTTTTTCCCTCACCATTGACAGCTCCATGGTTTCTCCCTCCCCTCACGTTGAGTCTGGGTGTCATTCTTGACAGCACTCTCTTTTCACTCTCACATCAATAATATTACCTAGTCTGAATACTTCCACCTTTGAAACATCATTTGTCTCCGTCCATCCCTTTCCCCGCACTCTGTTTCCATCCTGGTCCATAGCTTGGTCATTTATTGAATTGATTACTGCAACTCTCTTCTTTTTGGTCTGCCGCACAAATTACTCCGTAAACTTCAAATAGTTCAAAATTCAGCTGCCCGCATCGTTACCAAAACCCCCCTCATTTCACCACATCACCTCAGTTTTACAGCAACTTCACTAGCTTCCAGTCACTTTCAGAATTCAATTTAAAATCCTGTTGTACACATTCAAGGCCATCCATAACCTCGCCCCTTCCTATCTATCCAATCTCCTGCACATTGTCACCCATTCACGCTCCCTTCGTTCTTCCTCTTCCATCCACCTCAACATGCCTCTCGTCCACCTCAGCACCATGGGACACAGAGCCTTTCCTCACTCTGCTCCCCAACTCTGGAATGCTCTTCCCCCAGACATCCGTAATATTGACTCCCTTCAGATCTTCAAATCACAACTCAAAACTCGTCTGTTCAAGCTAGCCTTCTTTCTTTAATTTTTTGTTATTTTCTTCTTGGTTTTGTGTTTTTATAGCCATTTTGTATTGTTTTATTTTGCGTTTTATTTTGTGTTTTTGATGTTGTGAAGTGTCCTTGGATGTCTTGAAAGATGCTAACAAATAAAATGCATTATTATTATTATTACTACAGCCACATAGAGCAGCAGCAATAAACATTAGTTGTCACATATGTGGCTTAATTCAATGTTATTTTCAATTGTTCAGTATTAACTCAATTGAGTTATTATTGTCAAGAGTTCAGTAATCTGACAGCTTGTGGATAATAACTGACTTCGAGTTTTTTCATGCATGATGGAAGGCTCCTGTATTATCAGCCGGAGACGGAAAAGTCTTTGTACTGGACGAGTGTGATCCTTAATGATGCTACATGCTTTACGCAGACATTGGCTGTGGTAGACGTCCTGGATGGTGTGGAGGCTGCTACCAGTGATGTCCTCTGCTGTTTGTACCACCCTCTGTAGTGATTTCCGTCTCTGACTGATGCAGTTCCCATACCGCCATGTGATGCAGCCTGTCAGCAGGCTCTCAATGGTACACCTAACTTAGTGAGGATGCTGGTGTTCCTACAAACTTCCTTAGTCTTAGAGGTAGAGTCAACAATGACAACAACAATGATTCCAGATGAGAAGTTTCTAAGAATGCTTTTTATTTACCACTATGAAGGCAAGTGTGTATCTAATCCCAAGATACCTCATAAACTACTCCATAGATTTTAATGAAACTTGTTTCATTCAGAAATGATTGAGCACACATCCACACCCGGTTACCTTCTGGACTCAACCTGTTTCAAGATAGACAGCACAATGAATCATCCTTATCAACCGTATACAGTATATATTGCTAAAACTGTTACAGGTAATGCAAAAAATATGGAGTGTTTGTAGTTAAGCATTTTCTCTAACAAATACCTTTGCATACAAGATGGCAGGTGATACATATTTCATCATAAAACGCAGTGCACATGGTAGTGGTGCATTTAGAAGGTTTTTTCATTCTTAAAAGGGTTGAAACCTTTTTGAGGATGCTCCTAAAACGTCAATCTAACTTTCAAGGCAACTTATTGTTTTACAGAGTGTTTCTCAAAGTCATAACATCTCTTAGGGTTTTTTATTTATTTATTATTACTAGGTGCTTTAATGATTCTACTAACTCTTTTATTCAATTTGTACTGTATGCTGTACTATAACTGCACCTATAAGTAGGTCTCTTGGGCGTAGTGTGTACTTACTGTGCTATTTAAAACAAACGACTGCAGTGTGCAGTGCTTTTACAATTGCATTTTGGTTTATTTAAAAGAGATAAAAAATAACCATTTGCAGTCTAAAATGTGTAGAAACAAAATAAAAAAAAGCTTATTTCCTGTTAAAACTGATTTATTTTATTTTACTTAATTTATTGTTTATGTAACCTTCTGTGAGAAGTGATGAAATACATATTTTAATAGGAAAGGAAGCTGTAGAATCTGCAGTGTAGATTAACACTGACCTAGATGTAGCAGAGCTACAGCAAGTAAGTTTATAAGATGTGATGCACGTCATTGTCCATGATTGACAGAACTATCTGAGAAGACTTTCTATTTGTGCTTGTGTCAGCTCAAGAATCTAAACCCATTAGGACTCGTTCTTCAACATCCTACTTTCTATTTCTTTGTCTTTCTGTCCAGATTTTGCAGAGCTGGATCGAGAACTGGCTCAGCTCGGCTCTCTGGGTTTTACAGGTTGTCTGTCTGCAGTTCTTTTTAACTCCATCAGTCCCCTGAAAGCTGCTCTACTCCACCCAAACATCAGTCCAGTTGTTGTCAGCGGCCCACTCATCAGGTCTAGTTGTGGCTTCACTTCAGCCAATCCCTATACAGCAGAGACCACACGTCATCTGTCAGGTCAGAAGGAAATTTTTCTGGTTTTGTAACTGGTATTGTTGTAATTTTACTCCCTATTTTACCCCATTTTTGTTCCTCACTCAACACATACTCATATCATGTCAATTTTTTTTTGGGTACCCTACTACCTTTTCTTTTTTAAAGCACAAGAAATTGATCTATAGTTGTATGTTATCAGAATTAGAATAAGCTTTATTATCATTGTACCGAGATCCAGTGAGAATATGTTGTAGTTGTCCAAAAGATAGTCGGAGTGCACGTAGCTGCTACTATGATAGCGCGGCCTTATCCTTTCAGAATACACTTTTAGATAGAAATGCGGAAAATTCCACGAGGAGAGGATAGTGGCATTACAAAAATGATCTCTTCACACCTTGTCCTATCTATCAGGACATGATTTAAGACAACAAAAAACTCTGCCAGCAAGCACATTAGCACATTTATGAACATGCTACATATGCATTTGACGACAAGGCGGTCCATGAAGCACTTCCAGATAGACAATAGTCCTGATTAAATAACGGTCAGCTGGCACAGTTCTAATAAGCCTCTACAGAAGTTCTTTTGGGGGGGGGGGGGGGGGGGTAGACTAAGCTTTTCCTTAGTTTACACATTTCCCAGGAGAAATTGATATCTTGGCCTGTTTTCGAGGCCAACCGGCATTGTCAGATTCAGAAAAGCCACAACTGTTGATTTTTTCAGGCAGACTGTTTTTCCTTGTCAGCCTTGAGTCCTACTGGTACTTTTGTTGCAACGTGAGCTGATGCGGGCCACGAGCTACTGCAGCTAGCTGTACCTAGCTGTGGGCTTCAGGCCTCATCTCGGATCCCAGGTCCGTCTCCAGCCCACGCTGCCCCCCAGCTCAGATCTCCCTCAGAAGCGATAACTCACGCTATCAATAAATCAAGGAAACTTGAAATAAGTTTTACCAATTATATTAAATCAAGGCAGGAGGAGGTTACACAGCGCTGGCCTCTGATACAATTCGACGAGAGATCAGGAACTGCAAGGACTGAATGTCACATGGCATTACAGATGTATAGGGCCTGGACTCCTCCTTCACAGAAGGGGAGCACAACCTATCACGTGGATAAGGGGCCAGTCTAAGTGTGGGCTCATTGGACCTTATGTGGTTTTGATGTGTCATAAAATTTTACGGTGCAGAAAAAGTCTTTCTACGTGATGCAGCGGGCCAGTAAAAAAAAAAAAAAAACTATTCCTTGATGGAGATTGAATCCCTGGGAAACTCTTTTTAGAGTTGCTGGCCCCGTTTAAACCAGTCAGAACCGGGTCATAATTTCATTACAATCCCATCTCTGAGTAGATCAAAAACCCAGGGTCAGTCTAGATAAAAATACTAACACTTTCAAGATCCAAAATGGCCAGATTAGGGTGCATTCTACTGATCCATGCTTACAAGCCCCTCCAAGGTCATTTCCAACATGCTGACAAGTCCCAAAGTTGCAGGTGGCCTGCGTTGTTATCATCATCATGTTATCATCTTTGTGCAGCTGGAGAGGAGGTAGGTTTGATTCCCCAGGTGCTTACATAGCTGCCCACTGCTCCACCTGTGTGTATCTCAGGTGTGATGGGTTAAATGCAGAGAACAAATTTCACCATTGCATGACAATCTCAGATTTCCCCCCTTCATCAAACTCTAATGTACACAAGAATGTGCATAGCCTACAGGCACATCCTGCATATAGAAACAAGACATGTATATTTTATATGACTGATTGGTTTAAAAAAATATTAAAAGGGACAAATTACTTACCAATGCAATTATGGTTAAGGACAACAAGAAAGTGGTAAGAAATTTCAGTATTTCATCTAAATGTTGATAATGTTGGGAGTGTATTGGTATCAGAGTAAATTGTGAGACAGAGCCTAAAGTGAGTGTCAGATTAATACAATACTTTGAGGGCTAACAGATCTTTGCAGAGCTCTTGTGCAACAAACAATCACATTACTTGACTTCAGTGTTACACTTTGTGTGAATGCAACCAGAAAACAAGTTCTTCCAAACCCTTTTTTTTATCTGAAGTAATATTGTTTTTATTTTTCATGTTATTTTCTGTATTTCCATGCAATCCATTCTCCTTTGTGTCTCATTTAAAAAGATATATTTCCTCTTGATTTTCCATTTTCCCCTTCATGCTACAGACCAGTCTGGATCAGAAAGAGCAGGTCAGCCTGTAGTGAATGCCATCAGGAGTGAATCAGTTCTCATCGGAGGTATTTGAGCATCAGTCTGTGTTAGTGTCATGCACTTATTATCAATAACCTCTTGATTGAAAATGGCTAACAATTTGTTTTCCTTTAGGTCTTTTTATTCTTTATCTTTTGATTGTCTGACTGTGTTTGCTTCTGTTAAGCAACTCAAAACTCTGTTTCATTATGTCCATATGAATTGGTTGATTCTTGCTTTGAAAGTTGATTTAACTTTAACTTTTTTTATTTGTTTTTTTACCTTGTAGGTATCGTAGCGCTGGCAATCTTTGGGATGATGTTTGCATTGGTCATTCTGGCTCGATTCCTATACAGAAGGAAGGGGACGTTTCAAAACCAGGAGGTGAAAAAAACAGAAGACACATCTGGGCTGCCATTCACCAAACAGACCTGCTTACAGAATGGGTTAGAGAACCAGAACAGAGAATATTTTATTTAGGAGAGGAGCTCTCTGAAAGTGTTGGAGGTGAAGAGAAGAAAAAAGAAAGAATTTGAATCCCTTCTCAACATACTGAGCACAAACGTTATTTCTCTTCTGATTGTTTTGTTTTTATACAAAGTTTGTAAAGACATTTTTGAATTATGTCCATTGTCTGTTAAATAACTGTGAACAGGCAATGTAAATCTTAAAGCCGTGACTGTATTCTAGACATTTATGTTTTTTTGAAAATTTAAAGGCGATTTGTAAAATCATTTATGGATTTTCTACAAAGCCAATGGAAAGAAGTCAACAACTCAGACCCAGTTTATTGTCATTCAAATCATTTGTAACACACAGTAAGAACAAAAAACAGTTATCCAGGACTCAATATATACAATATTTTTTTAAAAGCATTAAAATTTGATAAGAAATAAAATGAAATAGCATAAAAAGTAACATGTACATTTTGGAACAATAAAAATGGATTAAAATCCAATAAAACAATAATAAATCTCGCACTAACTATGGTGAATAAATAAGAAGTTAAAAAGAAGAAAAGTGCAGCAGATAGACATCAGTAGCAGCAGATAACAGATTCAGTGTTCATTGTGTGAGTGAGGAGCAGTCCAGCAATCTGACTGCATGCCGGTAGAAGCTGTTTATCAGTCTGGATGTTTATGTCAGGATGAAGCACAGTGTCCTCCCTGAGGGCAGGAGTGAACAGTCCATGTTCAGGAGGGATGAGTTCAAGGAGCATGCAGGCTCTTGTCCTGCACCTGGTGGTATAAATGTCCCTGGGAGATGGTAAGCTGCACCCACTCTCCATCACACAGGTCTTGAAGAACCTGAGGACATCAGCATCCAGACCTGCCCTCTTTGGCTTCCTCAGGAAGTAAAAGCACTGGTGGGTTTTCTTGATAACAGCGTTGGTGTTGGTGCATCAGGTGAATATGCTGCTCAGATGTACCCTGAGGTACCTGACAGAGGGGACCATCTTCACCACTGCTCCATCGATATAGAGTGGGAGGGGAGCATTGCCAGTCCTGCAGAAATCCACTACCATCTCCTTGGTCTACTGGAGGTTGACGATGAGGTTGTGCCTGTACCAGCACTTCAAGCCCTTCACCTCCCGCCTGTATGATAACTTGCATCCATGGGTGATGGGTTCAATTCAATTCAGTTTATTTGTATAGCACCAAATCACAACAAAGTTGTCTCAGGGCACTTTACAGAAACAGTCACATACATAAAAAAAGCCAATTAGAAAAGTACTCTATCTAAGGAAGTGTGTCTAATCACTGCTGTCATCTGTGAAACAGAAATACCTGTAAAACATGTCAAAGTGGTCAGCCGTTAACAACAGAAAGAGACAATATCCACTTTTTTCCAATTCACTGCCATAAATCTGTTGTGGATCTTTGACAGCAATTTGTAACAAGTGGCCCAGTGGCCTAATGGACAAGGCATCAGCCTCTGGAGCTGGGGATTGTGGGTTCAAGTCCCACCTGGGTCAGGCAAGCACTGAAAGTAAGTTCTTTTTTTTACTTTAAAGAAGCTCAAACTGATCCGTTCTGTTTTCCAACAGTAGAATTATCATTTCTCTAAAACTTTGGCAGAACTTTGGAACATCTGGAGTTAATGTCACCCATGCTTTACCATACATCCATCCTTTATCTTTCCCCACTTCTTCCTTTACGGGTCATGGGGTTCACTGGTGCCCATATCCAGCAGTCACTGTGCGAGAGGTGGGGGACAATCTGGACAGGTCCTAAGTCCATCACAGGGTCATTAAAGCAGTCCCAAATAGATGAAAGACTGCAGTCAGTTCCTGTAGGTGCTCAGGTCCAAACATTAAACTTCTGATTTCATTAAACATTTTATTTAAGAAGCAGAAGAAAAATAAAGTTTATCAGGTTGCCATGTCTTTGAGACATTTGCAAAATACTCAGGTTTTGTGGAAAAATATAGCTGAGTATCATCAGCAATACAATGGATATTGATCTTGTGCTGTTTAACAATTTTACCTAATTGAATCATAAAATAAAATAAAAAACTATTGTCCAAGTGTAGAACCCTCAGGAACTTGATGACAAAAAATATATAAATTTATATATTTTAAGCACAAGCAAATTCAAATCTATCAGTTAATCCTTACCTTATCGTAAATGAATGCAACTACCTTTTGTTGTTCCTTAATCCCTGTAACATACTCAAGCTTCTGTAATGAAGATTTCTGATTGTTCATATTAAATGTAGCACTGTGATCTAGCAGGATAGGTAAATACAAAAGTCAACTGTCTTAGACCATTAGAGTGTTGTTTTTAACTTTTACCAGAATATCTTTTGTTTTATGTTGAGATCTGACTCACAAACAAATGTACTGTAATTGGCTAAGGATCAGAAATTGAAACACATCAGATGATAGTTCTTCTCATGTTGTAAATTGTTTACTTAGAGTGCCTTGTCTGACCCAGGTAGGACTTGAACCCACAAATCCCCAGCTCTGGAGGATTATGCCTTATTCATTAGGCCACTTGGTCACATGTCAATGAATAAGAATCTGGATCCTTTAATTATCCTTGCACAGTGTAGTACAGTAGACACTCACTACTGTTTGTTTATCTCAGACTCACTCTATCACGGTTTTTCCAAATAAGAATGGACATGCCACACAAATGGCTAAATGATGGATGAGCTGCATGATCGGCGTGGATTTTATCCTTAAAACAATTTTTTAAATAATTATTTAGCACCTGCTGCCTGCAGCCCAGAGCTGCAGAAACAAAACTTCTTCCTGTACCTTTGAACAAACCTACCCCCCCCCCCACCCCCCACAACATAGGAGGATTTGCAGAGGAAGTGGTCTCCAGCTACAAGTATTTGGGTGTGCACCTGAATGATAACCTAAGCTGGGGCAACAACACTACTAGACTGATCAAGAAAGCTCATCAGAGACTCTACTTCCTCAGGCGGCTGAGACGAGCTGGTCTGGGAAGCTCAGTCCTCACCTCCTTCTACAGGTAGAGAGCATCCTGTACTCCAGCGTCAACGTGTGGCATTGAGGCTGCACAGCTGCAGAAAGAAAAGCTTTGCAGAGAGTGGTGAAGGCTGCACAGAAGTCTGTTGGAATCAGCCTCCTCACCATCACAGACATTTACACCTCCAGATGCAGGAAGAGGGCCACCTGCATCATGAAGGACCCCACTCACCCAGCACACACACACTTTTTCCCCCTGCTCTTCTCAGGAAGGAGGTTAAGGAGCATAAAGTGTAGAACCACTAGACTGAGGAACAGCTTCTACCCTGAGGCTGTTAGACTCATGACTATCTAATCAGGATAATCACTGTGAAAAATAACATCATGTTGCTGCTGATCTGTTTCATGTTGCTGCTGATCTGTTTCATGTTGCTGTGTTTATTCGTGCTCATCTTTTCAAACAGACTCACGTTCATGCTGCTGTTTGGCGTATTGTGTTTATTGTTTTTATGCTATTAGTGCTTAGCGTATTTTTAGCTGATGTTTATCTTAGTTCATATCTTAGATCTTATTAATGTTTTTCTTTTACATTTTATCGTTGGATGTAACTGGGACCCTGTGTACATAATTTCGTTCCACCACCTGTACCACATGTGGTGCGAATGACAGAATCTCTCGTGCTCTTTTTCTCTATCTCTCTCTTTGTGCAGCCCTTACTGCAGGATAAATTTCCTGCTGCAGCTGTTCAGTTGTTCTCCGTGCAGAGCTGAGAAGTGTGCGTGGCCAAGAGTGCTTACAGGGGGCAAAGAGCAGACAGGCAGGGAGCCGAAATCATGACATTCTGTGCTCTTTTAGAGTTTAGAAACATTTTTTATAATATTACAAGAGTGTGGGAAGTGTTTAAAATGCCTTTATA